GGTCAGTCTTGCACACTCACTGTTTGTCTTTCCTGCACGTCAGCCCTGCAGCAGGAGGTTTCTGCCCCACCTCAGCCTGCTCCGCGTCACTGTTGATGGCAGAGTCTGGTGACAGGCACACAGCTGCCAGCCACAGGCAGCGGGGGGCTGGGCCCCCCGACCCCAGGCCGCTCTCCACCACAGTGGGTCCCAGGGAGAGCACCAGTTCCCACCCTTTGGTACAAAAGCGACGTTTGCCATGCTGCGCTTTCTCAAGGAAAACTGTGTTTGAACCAGCCTTTTATTGATAAGCTCTCCTAATAAAAAAAAAAATGCCAGAACGAAATTTCAATATAACGAAGCTCAAGAAGCAGTTGGGACCGTCTTAAAAATAGACACTGGCGTCTGTGGACTGCAGCGCCTGCCTTGCTTCCTCTTGGCCTGGCCTCCCGGCTGGTGACCTTGGCCCAGGGACTTTCTATACATGAAACACTCAAAGTGCTGCGTAACTGTTAGGACTCTCTGGAAGCAGTTATTATGTCTTGCATTTTATTATCCAGTACATATATTTACATATTATAGATGTCATTATATTTTTAAGTTCTCTTTTATTATCTTAGTCAAAATGATTAGGCAGTTTTATTAAGAGAAACAGCATTTTAAACATGAGCTGCCTATTCAGCAAGCACAAGAGCAATCCATAAACAGTTCTGCCCCTCTCATGCTTTTTGGATAAACTTTACTTTAAATGTTTCTAAGTCCACTGTCACGGTAGGTTTATTGGCACCTGTCACACATGCCTCATCCCCACCTGAAGCATAGTCACCGCCTATAAATAAGGATCCGGATTCCTTTCTCTGCACATATACCAGGGGTTTGTTTTTACATCCAATGTCATAGAAGAAAATTCACATGACGGGGGTACGGGGGTACACACATGACAGGAGCCAGGCCCTTCCAGAACCTCGTGTACCTATAATTCCCTATTCTAAGGGCCAGTTGGCAAAAAAGCGAAGGCCCCAGGAAATAGCCTACTTTAAAGTTTCTAAGTAACACCTCCACCTACTCACCCATTAGCACAAATCTCAAGACACCACAGTTTCTCTAAAGGACTCCTCTAACCCCTGGACAGAAGTGACCAGCATCTGTCTTATTAACCTATACAAAGTTTCATTAGGTTACTCAGTGATTCAGATGTCACAGAAACCTGGCCAGACAGGTACGCACATGGCATCGAGTGTCCATTCCACGGCACTGCGCCGACCCCCCGCCCAAGGGCCCAACAAGAAGGCCCCCCAAACCGGCCCCCACCTGTCTTTAGCAGAACACCTTCCTCCAAGGCCCTGCGCTCACTCACACATTCAAATTACTTTGTGACCTATCCACAGAGGACACGTGTCATTACAGACACGTGGGCCAAGTGATGGACACCTGGGCTGGGAGCCGGGGTGTTCATCAGATCCCCCGGAATATAACAAATACATAAAGCCACCTCCCAAATAGCCTTTGCTTCCACCCCACGTTTGTGTGTCAAGTGACGTCCCTCCATGCGCTCGCACGCACTAAGCATCGCCCCCGCACGCCTTCGCACCATGTTCTTTCCCATAAAAACGTTACTTTCAATGGTGAAGAATTTTTCTCGGAGTAAGAGAGAATGTGGGCAAGGCGTCTTTTAACTCGTGAAGTGGCAGGTTGCTGCAAGAGCGAGGAGCATTTCCCGTTCTCTTGGGCATCCATGTGGCAGCAGGTCAGAGGGTGTGAAGCAGACAATGTGTGGACAGGATTGTGTGGATGTTGAGTGGGTGATGGAGAGCGGGTGGGTGAGTGCAGGACGGCGGGCGGGAGCTCTTCGCTCGAGCTCCCTCTTCACCGCCAATCCTTTCTTTTCAACCTAGCGAATCATCTCATTTCTCTGAAACTGCTGCCCCTCACCTCTGCTGCGACCTGGCTCTCAGGTCCCTCCTAGTTCCCACAGTCGTCAATTTCATAAAGTAAGAAGGCGCTCCCAAGGATTCCACTTTGCAATGCCAGGCCATTTTCACATGGTCACCCAGAATTCAAAGCGCCATCATGAGCAAAGGGACCTGGGAGGTCTTATTAATGCACACAATTGAAGCTGTCTGGGTGTCCTGCTGGACACATCATGACTTGTGACATTAGAAAGTGACTGAATTGTTACAGTGGCCAAGACATGGAAACAGCTTGTCTATGGAAGTGGATGAAGAATGATAAATGAACAGATAAAGAATATGTGGTATATCTAGACAATGGAATATCATGCAGCCATAAAAAAGGACACCCTGCCATTTACAACCTGAATAAACCTTGAGGGCATTAGGGTGAGAAAAATAAGTCAGATGTATTTCACTAACGTGTGGATTCTAAGAAAGCCAAACACGCAGAAACGGGGGAGGAGCTTGAACGTTGCCCCAGGCGCAGGGGCTGCAAGAAACAGGTGAAAGTGGTCAAAGAGGAGACACTTTCAGTTATAAGGTGAATACTCTCCAGGTACTGAAGACCCAGCACAGTGACTACCATTAACCAGGCTCTCCTGTGTATCTAGAAGATGCTGAGAGAACAGGTCCGAAAGTTCTCAACACAGACAGAGCAGAATGTGAAGAAGTGATGATTATGTTCAGTGACCTCCCTGGGTAATCACTTCACCGTATGTACACGATCACATCATCACCTTGAACATCTCAACTCACACACAGTTATGTGTTAATTATATCTCAATACACCACAGGGGAAAGTTTTGTCCAATGTCTCTTAAAAGAAAAGCTCGGCTGGGCAGAGATCCGTCACAAAGAAGTCCCGCCTTGAACCACGAGTCTGAAGAGTGAGGAAAACGGCGCACTGAAATGATTGGTGACACCCCACCACACACACACACACTTCATGGGGGGCAGTGTCAGCCCCCCAGGCAGCCTGGCGGTCTGCATTTCGCATTTCTTCTAGAAGTCCCTCTTTCTATCTTATTCACACCGATTGCCTCCTAGACACCCAATTCCATTTAGCAGGAAAGACTCCCTAAAAAAGGTGTCTTGGGGAGCAAACCCCTCCTGTCTGTTCAAAGGCCCTTCTCGACAAAGACTGTTCCTTAAGTTACCAGGGAGCAGGATCCCCCTTAAGTTACCAGGGAGCAGGATCCCCCCGGCCCCCCGTGTTCCTCTGACAGCCAGTTCTTCGAATCCAGGCGGCCAACGCTGGACCGCCTTCTTAGCTCTCTGACTGACTTGGGACCCTGGGCGCGGGCAGAGCCTGTCCTTGCGCAGCACGAGTGGCCAGCGGGAGTGTGGACGCGTCAGGGCCACCTGGTTAACGCTTCTTCCTCCTGGGACTGGCACCCGACCTGTCTGGGAGAGGGCGGCTGCTGCTGCCGCTTCCACTTTTCAAGATGGAGATTCTACAGCCTCCTCAGTGGCTTCCTCAAAGTGCACGTGCCCTCAGGCCCAGCGCCCTCACACCTCCGGACTGCCTGCCCCACCTGGCCCTGGCTGGAGGCCCAGCCTGCTCCCGCCGGTCGCCTGCCTGCTGGGTGTCGCTGTGACGCTGGCGGCAGGACCGCACCTGCCTTCACTCGGCCCGGCCTGGTGCGGTGGCTGTGTGGTCCCCAGCCCGTGGCTTGGAATCAGGGGATGCTACCACGCCCCAGAGTTTTCCAAGGATCGGCATGGCTGGAAAATCTACACGGGCTTAAAGGGAAAAGCTGAGGAGGGGAAATGAGGTCAGAAGCGGAGGGACAACAGGTCCGGGGGGGTGGCGGGGGGAGAGGAGGGCGCTGCCCATGCTGGGGCCCGGGAAAGCCGAGGCGGCACTGGGGATGGCTCCAGCAGGTGATGGAGACACCGTGAGGCTGTGGCCAGGGCTGCAGAGGCGGCCACTAGTCCGGGATAAGCTTGCGGGGCGCGAGCCCGAAGGGTCCCCTTAGAGGCCCCTCGGCGCCCGGGAAGGTCCGCAGAGGGCACAGGCCCCAGGGAGACGCTGCAGGGTGCCCTGGGGGCCCTAACTTTGCCGCGTGCGTCTGAGCCAGGCACACAGCCCTGTTCCCTCAGTCTGCTCAAGGCGTGCTCATTTTGTCCCCATTTTGCAGGTGAGAAAACCGAGGCGCAAAGGGGCCCCGAAACTAAGCGCCTGTCCGGAGCTCCGTGCACCCGCCCAGGGCCCGACTCCCCGCGGCTCTGCCCTCCCGCCCGGCCTGTGCAGCTCGGCTGCACGGTGGGACCACCACCCTCTCCCCAGGAAGAGACAACACTCTTCCCCCGGACCCGACGGGATCAGCAGACTCGGGTGCCAGGCTGGGGCGCCAGTTGGCTCTGGGCGCTGGAAGCGTGACCCAGCGCCATCTGGGGCAGGGTGTGGTTCTGGAAAAGAGTGTTACTCTCATGTTTACTCAAAGATAGTCATTAAGTCACCGTGAAGACATCTTTTCTGCAGACTAAACAACTCACTCCTTTTTTAAAAAGCTTTCCTCACAGGAGCTATTTTTTTTGGTGCCATTTTCTATATTTACTGGCTTTTCCCAGGGCACTCCCTACCCTACCATTCTCTATTTTAAACAATCCTGGAATCAGATTTTGGTGCCACAGAAAGGAAAGGGTCCTTTTCGGCGCGTCCTGTCTGGCTAACAGACGAAAGGGCCACAGCCCCGTGGTCTGTCCGCTCTGCTCCCCAGGTCCGTCCCCGGCCCCCCTTCCCGCCTGATCAGCCTCATGGTCACTATTTGCTTCTGACTGCTGAATTTCCTTTGAGGGGCCAGTCCTTAGTCTCGGGTTTCTAAGTGTTTTGGGCGCTTGCGTCAGACTGATTTCCTCCTCCAGGTGGATGATTCAAAGAGTCCAGAGACACCCCCTGAGGGGGAGAGTGTCAACAGCCAAACGCTTTCTCCCCTCCGGGCTGACAGCCCCCCTCGCCCTGAGTCACTCTGAGCCGTGGGATCCAGCCCGGGGTGTTCAGACACCGTGGCTGACACTTTGAGGGCTCCGGCCCAAGGGCGTGCCAGCCCCGCGGGGCCCACTTACTTCGAGGTTCTCGGGGTCCGTCCACGGTGATCTTGATGGCTCTGTGGTAGGTGGCGACTTGCGGTGGGTTCGTGAAGACAGTGATGGTCAGCGTGAAGCTCTTCCCTGTCAGAACACACAAAAGGGATGAGCTGAGGGCCCGGGTGTGCCTGCAGGGCGAACCCCGTTCCTGTGCCCCCCCACCCCCCCACCCTCCCCACTGGGAGGCAGCTGGACCCCAGCACCAGCTGCTGGGTTTCCCAACACGTCTTTGAGTTGGGTTTGCTCAGTCCTGCAAAATACCCCGGTGGTGCTGGTCTTAGTGACCACTCAATGTGGCCAGCGCGAGTAGTCGCCCAGGCTCAGCAGGGACGGACGGGCCTTTGTCTGCTTCCAAGTCAAGACTCCTGGAAAAGTGGGTCAGGCTGGCAGCTGCCCACCTTTATGAAACACACAAAAGCCACATCCTTCTTCCAGGCTGACGCTGCCTACGCCCCCAAGGGTCAGGAGAGAGAGAATTCCTTGGGCTGGACAGGCTAGATTTCCTTCCCTTTCCTCTGCATTTCTAAGACATTAAATCCTAATGGCGGGTTGGCTCTCACTGTTATTCTCAAAGGCCAGCTGTTAATAGAGGCACTCACGGGATTGGCTAAACACGAAATAAGGCAGTAGTGGGCTTGAAAGCCGACAGGCTGGGATTTAACTAGCATGGTTAGGCTACACATGGAAGGTCTTGGAAACATTTTACCGAGGCTGAGGAGATGTGAGCGTGGCTTCACCACATGTCTCATGTGATGCTTTTCATGACTTTTAATAATTACTTTTAAAAAATGTTTATAATGTAGAATATAACCACTAAAATGTAAGCATGTAAACAACAGATACGCTAGCAATTAAGATTAATAGTATAATTAATAATACAAGCCTATTACTAATAAGGATTAATAGTACAATTAATGTGTGAATATATTATTAATTAAGATTAAGGCTACAGTGATTGGGGGTAAATACATGAGTACTCTGAAAACACTTCCTCTTGGCTAAATGGTTCGGAGCGTGGACGCTAGGCCTGAATTCTGGTTCACTAACCTCTGGCTGGCAAGACTTTAGGCTTCTTTGTGCCTCGATCTCCTTGCCTGGAGGACGGATACATATAACCTTCCTACCTTGCAGAATCCTGAAGCAGTTAAAAGATTCAGATGAGGAAACCCACTACATGCAATAGCACAAGGGATTCCAACAGGTGTGTGTGTGTGTGTGTGTGTGTGTGTTGCTCCATTTTATTCTGTTTCCTACAACTCGATGCTAAGACCCTGAGGTCTGACGAAAGCGAATGTCTGGACTTCTCAGGCCAGCAGTGGTTCTCCTACCAACAGCTTCTCCCTTCACCGTGCAGCCCACTGAGACCAAAATATGATGCAAAGGAGCGCAAGTGTGTCCTCGCCTCCCGCATCTGCTCCAACGTCCCGGCTAGGAGCCCAGCTGTCTCCTTTCCCTGGGCTAGGAGAGGCAGGCTCTTCCCAGCTGCCATGCGTTTTGTCACCGAAGGTGGCCGGGGAAACAGACTTCATGCAAATGTGGCCTTGACCACAGCAAGTCGGTGGCTCCTGACCCCCGCCCGCCCCCGCCCTGACCCGCTGCGGTCCCCAAGGGTCCTTGTTCTCTCCATATAAAAGCCGGTGGGATGTTGGGGTGATGGTAACCACTTTGCCTGACATGACTTCACATCCAAGTCCCAGTGACTTGTCCAACAGGCCGGATGCTTTCCAGGGAGAGTCCCTGGGGGCCCCCCGAGGCCCGGCCTCCAGATGCATCGTCCCCATTGGTGAGCATCACCCCTGGAACCTGGAGGAGATTTGGGGCTCTGGGGTCGTGCCCCTTCCAGGACAGACCCGGTTGGCTTTCGTGCCCTGGTATCCAGCTGGCGTAGGGGAATGGGCAGAGGCAGCCCCGCTCAGGCCACAGACGTGGCGGCGGCCTGGGGTCACCTGCTCCCCACGCCGCTGTTTAGTCTCCGGCTTGTAAGAGCTGTGGGAGGAGTCAAGGTCCCGCAGTGCTGGGAGCACCTGGCCCCCGAATGGTCCTCCCAGCTAGAGCCCAGCAGGGGTGTCTCTGTCCCTAGCCTGAAATTCCCAGAGCCAGCGTTCAGGAGCTTCTTATCAGGAGACCCCACCTGGCCATTCTTTCCCACTCCTCCTCCCCCCGCACCCCCAGTTCAGCCAGGCTCTGCTCCCCTGGACTGCACTCACAAACCGCTGCCTTTCTACTTTGGGGTCTTTCTCCAGCACCTCACCAGCCATTGGGGTCCCTCGTGCCAGCCCTAGTCTCAGCCTTGCTGCCTTCAAAGCAGGGGCAAGTTACTCTCTTCCCCGCAGTCTTCCTCGGCGATGCCCTGTGCTGTGGATGCTGTGGGCTCGTGGCCTCGGGTGGAGCGGGGTTTGTGCCAGTGAGGGCTAAGGCCCTGCAGGCGGGCTTCGGCTCCTCCCCTGCCTCCCGCTGGAAGGTGGGAAACAATGACCAGGGGGGAAGGCTGCAGGAGCGAGGGGTTGAAACACTAAAAAAGTTTTTCACAGATAGAAGCAGAGGCTACCGGCCTCTCCCAGTGACCCAGGAGGTCTGGGTGTCTGCCTGTGTCTGGGTCTGGGGGGAGGGGAGGGGAGTGAGGGGGTGGAGCGGGTAAGGAAGTTAGGCCACCCAGGCTCCTGGGCAAAGGACTTGATCTCTCCGGACCCCTTTCCTGGCCTGCAGTGGGAGGGGGTTTGCGGCTAGAACAGTATCACTTTCAATCCTGACGTGAGCTCCTGAGATTGCAGCTGCGGGCACCCATCTCGCGGAGGTGAGTGTCAGCCCCTGGGTGCGTCCTCTGTGCCTGGCAACTTCGGGCCTGCGGAGAGTTCTTGGAAATGCTGTGTTCCTTTCCTGGGGCAGCTGTGCCAATGACTGCAAGCTCAGTGGTTTACAATGACTGAAGTGTATTGTCTCCATGTTCTGGAGGTCAAGTCCAAAGCCAGGGTGTTGGCAGGGACGTGCTCCCTCTGAGGCTCTGAGGACATGTCCACCCTTCCCTGCCCTGCGGACCTGGAGGCCTGCACGCCTTGGCTCCTGGTCCCGCTGCTGCAGCTCTGCCCTCTCGTCCCGTGACCCCTTCCCTCTGCCATTTCTTCTGCCTCCCAATCTCCCCTGGATTTAGGGTCCACCCTATGCCAGTAAGACCTTACTTTAACTTGATTACATCTGCAAGGCTCTATTTTTCAATCAGATCACATTCTGAGGTGGACGTGAATTTTGAGGGGACACTACCCCATGAATTTTGAGGGGACACAAACGCCGCAACAACTGTAAGAGCACAGTGTTGGCAATGCAGTGACAGCTTCTCTCCAGGCACGTGTGCATTTAAACCCCAAGAAACAGGCCCTCCCTGGTGGCGCAGCGGGTTAAAGCACGGCACTGAGAAGCTGAAGCCACTTCAGCACGAGTTTGATCCCCGCCTGCGCCGGAGGGGACCACATGGCGCGGCAGACCTCTCCTGACCCGCTCCTGACCCGCCCGCTGCTCCCCTCAGCCGTGTACTTCGTCGATCTGCCTGCTCTGCTCCCCACTCTGCCTCTGGTGGATCCTCTCACTGTCCCTGCACCTCTGGCCTGTACCCCAGCTCGGTATGTATAAATAAATAAATCTTTAATATAAATAAATAAACCCCATGAAATGCTGCCAGCTGGGTGGCCCGGCCACACCCACTCCCTTCTTGATTGCCTAAAAGACAGAGTCATCTTTCGTTTAAGAGTCACAGTTTTAGGTCTGTTCCAAACTTGTATTATTCAAAAGACTCCTCCATTTACTCTCTCATCTGGTCCTCACTACATTTTCATGAAACACACAGGGTCCACTTTATTGTTCTTAACAGGTAGCAGAGCTAAGACTCAGAGAGGTTAAGTTATCTGCCCAAAGTCACACAGCCTGTCTACACAACAGAATCCAGATCTCCCAGCCCTGTACTCACTGAACTTCATGACTGTCATGGACCTAAATCTCTTCCTGAACGTTCACTGTCACCAACACCAAGAATAGGGGAGTTTTTCATGTTTTACCACTGCCTGCCCATCCCCCAATCGCCCAAGTGAAAACAGTGTTGGCGACTCTAATGGACCCAGATTGTACTGGAAGCCAATGGTAAGCCTGGGCTACCCTTCAAAAGCAGTTTCTTCCTGAGCCTCTGGCCTACAAGCCCCGTACTGAATGACTCCCCTTGCTTAATCTCAGGCAAAATTCCACCCGAGTGAGTATCTGGGGAACCCTTGCTTGTCGTTCGATGCTATTAATTTATGCCCATCATCACGTGCACAAGAAGTGTCCGGAAACATGGGCACCTAGCCTAGTTGCGTGTGCTGGGGACCGGTACAGGAACACGGCGCGTTCACCAAGGTCAGGTTATCTCTCTGCCAGCTTTTCCTCTATAGCTTTGAGGCCGGATGTCCGCTTACTACCTCATGTCACAGGCAACAAGTGATGATATTTTTCACAGGTGCATGTGACATTTCTCCACTCTGAGAAAATGCTGCATTTTATCTCCTTTATGTTCCCACAAACAGAATAGGGCAGTGGCTCCTTGACATCAGGGAACCACCAGCCAGCCAGCTCGCAAACGTGGCGGGTCCTTCTGTACTCCACAGCCCCGCCCCATCCCCAGACCCCGCCCACAACGCCCGGCCCCGCCCACACCACCCGGCCCCGCCCCATCCCCAGGCTCCACCCACCCATTTCAAGTCTGCCCCTAGTCCCTCCCGGTCCTGCTCAAACTCTGGCCCTTCTTGTCCAGCACCTGCACACAAAAGTGGTAGCTGCAGTGCGAAGCACACAACTCCCTCATGGAAATGACCTATGGGTCTGGTATTTTAAGTGTGTGGGCGTGGAGCGCAAAAGACTCTCAAGTGTTTTTCTCTGCAAGCTGCAGCCAGACAAGAAATCTGCGGGGAGCAAAGGTGGACGGCCCGTCTGAATCATCACCATCCCAAACCGGGAGGACCAAGCACAGGGGTGGGGAAGGCGGCCGCTCGACGGAGAACTGACCTGACTTTTGCGGGCTGAAGTGAGTCCCTGCGGGTGAAGACGCCCTGCGGCCCTGGTTC